CCCTCCCCCTGCTGGCCACATCTGGAGCAGCAGCACCCGCTGCACTGGCCAGGGCCCCTAGGCAGTTATACACACACCTGGCACCTGGGACCGTGTCAGGCTTAGGTGTCCAGAGGTAGGAGGTGAGGCAGGGCTCTTCTGGGTCTGAGAGGCCCAAGACTCCATCTCCTAGGTCCTCTGTCTTCACCAGGTGGGTCATCTCCTAGCCCACCCCTCCATGAGCCCAGCCATGAGATGAAAGTAGGGAAGAGGGGCGGGGGGGGGGGGGGTGGCATTTTGGGGGATGGCTTCCACATTCCTGTCTCTATTTCACTCCTCCCACACCCTCCCCCATGCCTCCTGGGCAGCTGGGAGAAGCTGAGGCTGCTACCACTGCCCGGATTTCCACTCCCGCCCCCAGGTATTGATTTCCTGCATCATTCATTTGCCAGGCCTTGGCGGCTGTGATTAGCTCCCTCCATTCTCCCTTACAGATCCCACCCCCTTTTCCCCCAGCCTGTCCCTCCACATTTCAGCAAAGCAGAGCTAATATACCAGGCTCTAAATGAGGCTTTGCCACCTTGGCCCCAGCGGCTCACAGCCAGGCCTAGCCAAGTAGCTCCCAGCTATCCCCTGCTCACTCCCTTAAGGATGCTTTCCTAATAAAATCCCCTCTAACCAACCTCCCCTGACCTAGAGCCCCCGCCCGCCCATGAAGCACAGATTCCCAGCCTGTAATGTATAGGATGGGACATCGTGAAGATGTTGACCTGAGGGTGGGGGGACTCTCCAGCCTGACACCAAGGCTCTGGGGAGCCCTCAGACTGGCTAAGGGGTCAACATCAACTTGGGGTGGGGAGGTTAATACCGGCAAAGCAGCTTGGATTTGTGGTCACAAGGTGCTCTCCCTTGCTTGTGCAATTTCTGTAAGTGAGAAGAAAGAAAGAACAGAAGCATGGATCTTCTTGAGGACATTAAGAGAACTCTGAGCCTCTGTTAGCCCCGTGGAACCAAAGTTTCAAGCGTGGGCTAGGAACTCTAGTGAAAAACCTCAAGTGCCCACACCCGGATCGACACCCAGGAGATGACACTGGGACACTCACTTCCTGAAATTTCTTCTCCGTGCTCCCCAGAGGAGGGAAAAAAACCTGACTTGGTGATAATCTGTAAGCTATGTTGCTCTTGTCAAATTATTCAACATCTGTCTTCATGTTCCTATAAAAATTAGCATAGGATAGTAGTTTCTGATGACACCTTTGGTGAAATATTTTGACTTCCACCAGTAAGTTGCAAACAACCTGTCTTAAGGATAATGTCAATTCCCACTTCTGCATATTAAATAATTCAGAGGTTTGTTGTGTTTTTATAAGGGAGAGGAATCCCACCGACCTGCCCCTGGCTAGAGGTCTGGCTGCTATGAGAGGAGGAGAAGCAGCCAGGACAGAAGGCAGGGGTGTTCCTTGATGCTATCCGAACACAAGATACTCCTCTTCCATCACTTGGTTACTGCCTTTGCCCAGAACTAGGCCACTGGGGCCCCCTGGCCTGCCAGAAAACAGATCAGAAGATCTACCCCAGAGGACAACAAACTGGGCAAAGAGATTGGGAGGCGAGGAGGAAGGGGGAACCGGCTCCAAATGGACCATCTGGTCCAGTACTTGGCTGTTGTAGCATCTGTGCCCCCAAAGAACAAAGCCACCTGGCAAACTGAGGGTGCTGCCTCCCCAGGCCTATTGCAGACCATGGATCCTGGGGCAGGCGGTGGACCTCAGTGGGAAGCAGGACGCAGGGTTCCAGGCACCTGCCTCCCACCAGCCTCAGCAGAGACACACAGCTTAGGCCAAATACTGTCAGGTTCGCCCTCTACCACTTGCTCACCTTCCTCCCCTCTATTCAGCCTCTGAGTTAAATCTGCCCCTCCCTCAGCCACACAGGCCTGGAGGCAGAGGGGCAGGGGCTCCCTCCCCAGGACACACATTTTTCTCCTGTGTCTTGAGTAACACTAGGCTTCCAGCCTCTTCTCTCTTCTAGGGCTGCCAACCTAGGACTCTGTGACTCGCCCTAAGCAGAGACCCCACTGCACTGCTGGAAACCAAGTCCTAGAGAGACTTCTCGTGGAGAAAGAATTTCCAACCTGCTCCCAACTCTGGCCCTTCCTTCATTCAACAAATACTTGCCCAGCTCCTGCTGTTGGGCCAGGGACCACACTGAGTGCTGGATGCAATGCCTGGCCAGATGGCCATCCCTGGTCCCTGCATGCCGCCTGGACTCTCATGCCGTTTCTTCTGCTTTGGGGGTACCGAGAGACTGCTGGGGAGGGGGGCAGAACTAGTCCCAGCTCTTTGACCTACTTCTTAAATCAGCCCTGGTCTTACAAAGATCCTCCCTTCTGCTGCTACATCTGGCCAAAGCTTCTAGCATCACCAGGAATTCGGTGACTTCCTGTCATCCTCCTCCTCCTCCTAAATCTTCTCCCTGCCTTCATCCACCTCAATACAGACTTTTTACCCAGCAATTCCCCTGAGGCCCCAACACTCCCTGAAGCCAAGCTCTCAAAGGAAAAGTAGAATGTCACCCAAGGGTCTGGGGTCGGCCCCAGTGCACCCAGCCCACTTTGATTAGCTCTAAGTGAGAGGAACTGGTACCTAGGCACAGAAGGGAGGAGAGAAAACACAGAAAAAGAGTATAGATAAGCCTCTGGATGAATCCTGGCCCTAGAGTACTCTGAAATGAGGGTCCACAGAGACTGACTCCAAAACCCCACTCTCATTGGGGGGTTTACTAGACTAGGAACAGAGGAATCTCCTGAAGATGAGCTGACCCTCATGCAGCCTAGAGAAGGTTAGAGAAGCTGGAAGGGATGGGTGACCGGGATGACCAGGAGCTGGTCTTGTCAAATGCACCCAACGGTGCAGGGAAGGAGGGGTGGAGCAGAGGACAGCAGCACGCAGGGAGGGCTCTCCATCACGCTCTCCAACCCCCAGGGCTGTGGTGAGAAGTCAAAGACCTCAGCAGCATCTCTCTTAGGCACCTTGGAGGAGGCAGTGGAGCTGTAGGGAAGACTTAGGGAGAAAGAAGAAAGAGAAACCCCCAGTCCACTGGCATCTTCATCTGCCCTGGAGAGGCAAGGCCTCCAGGACCTGCCTGGTGGCCTCCTCCCCGAAACCCAGCCTCTCCCAGTCCCTGCTGCATTCTTTCCTGCCTTTCCTGGCCTCTGTGAGGGGCCAGGCAGTAAGAGATACACAAACTAATTAAGAAGCAGAGTTTGGCCAGATGCCTGGGCTAGTCTTACCAGAGAATTAAGCCCAAGCCAGCTAGCTGAGTAGGGTCAGGAGCATGTCACCTCCCAGACACCCTTCAGGACACACCTTCCTCTTGCCAGGCACAGGCAGAGAGGCCATTCACCATCCAGGATGCTTTAGTCTCAGCACCTGAGGCTGGCAGCCGGTGGTCAGTGCCTATGCCACCCCACAAAGAATAGGTCAGACTCCCCTGATCTAAAGAGGAATCATTAACCCTTTGACCCAACAGAAAAGGAGAGAGAGAAAATCCTGCCCACCCCAGCCACACATCACTAAAAAGGGATCTAGACAAGCCATCCTGCAGTCAGGATAAAGCAAAGTAAGGGCCCCTGGGCCCCTGAGAATGATTTTTTGCGCTACGGGGTTAAGGCACTGCCGGAGTCTGAGCACCGGGTGACTGAATGAATGATGCCCTGGGCCTTCCCTGGGAAAACCCAGGGGATGGAGGGGGGAAGGGGTAACCAGAGTCTCCCTTGGTAACCAGAGTGAGGCATGCAGACGCAGGAGCAGGCTGGGTGGCAAGAGGCAGAGTTTGGACACGTATCCCGGTGGATGTGTGCCGTTTTCTGGGGATGGTGGCTGAGTGTGTGTGTGTGTGTGTGTGTGTGTACGCAGGAAGAAGGAAGGTGGGGTTGAGTTTGTAGCTAGGAACTGGGGACAGTAAGAACTGGCTCAGGGAAGGTCTAAAAAGAGATGTCGGGGTCGTCGGCGCCGGAGCCAGGAGATGCCAGCATCTGGATCAGGCTATCAAGCCGTGAGTAGAAGCAGCGAAGCCGCAGCGACAGCGAGGAAGGCGAGCCCGCCGCCCGGCCGCCGTGCTGACAGCAGGCTCGCCCGCAAGCCGCGCTCAACTCCGGAACATGCATCGCTTGGCTTCTACTCCGGAGGCCGTGCCAAGACGGGTTTCGGTGCGAGTCGCTGCACCAGTCCTGGGCTGGGTCTGTCCGGGTCTCCCGAATGCTCTCAAGGGTTCCTAGTGATCCCCGCCTCTAGCATGGTGTGGGAAAGTGGGTACCTCCCCCTGACATCCCGGCTTCACACCAGACCCTAGGACGGCCCCTGTGCTCCGAAGCAGCTCGGTCTCCTCGAGCCCTGGAGAGGGCGGGGACGCGGGCATCCACTCCAGAGTCCGAGTCGAGGTCTCCACCGAACCCCGGCAGCGCGCACTTCGCGCCTCTTGCAAAGTTTCCGCGCCGGGCTAAGCCGAGGTAGAGCGGGACGCGGGCTCTTACCGTAGACTCCTTGTCCCCGGCAGTGGAAGGGGATCAGCGCCAGAAGTAGAAGGCAGGTCACCTCCATCTTCACGGCCGGTACTTCATCCCCGCGAGGCGGCGCAGCCCGAGAGGCAGCGGGGGGCGCATTCGCCGGGGACCCGCGACGCCCCTATATCCCCCCCTTTCCCTGAGAGGTGACAGAGAGCACGGCCACCGAGACCAGGAGGCTGAAGAGGCGGAGGTGGCGGCGACCCAGGTTTCTCCTCTGGTGGGGCTGCTGCTCGCGTGGGGACGCAGGGGGCGCTGGCCAAGCCCCGGGTGCCGCTGAGCCGCCCCGGGTCCCCAGGGCTATCCGCACCGGATGGTGGGTGCCGGGGACCTCTCCGCGGCGGCAGTGGCGGCGCTTCGATCCAACAGACCACGGACGACTGACAAACTTGTCGTTCCCCTCCTTGGGGCCGCCCCTCAGCGGAGCGGAGTTGGGGAGGCCCGGGCTCCGCTCGAGTTAATCCGCTGTTTCCAGTCCTGCGGCCGCCGCCGGGGCCTCAGCGGCCCCACTCCGGGGGGCCGGGCTGAACGCCCTCGCGGCGGCCAGCGAAGGAGCCCCGGACCCGGCCCTCCAGAGTCGGGGAGCAGCGCGGGCTAGGTTCGGCCCAGGGACGAGCGCCGCGGGTCCCCGGGTCCGCGAAGTTAGCCGAGCCGCCGACAAACCCGTGGGAGGAATCGCAGCCCGGCGCCCCGCGGGAATCTGGAGAACAATTCCAGGCAAGAGGGGCCCCAGAAAATGGGGAAAGGAGGAAAGTTTGAGTCGTTTGAAAAATATTCGCTCTCTCGCCCAGGCCGGGGCTGCGGCGCGGGCGCCGCTCGCCGCCTCGGCTCGCTGCGCTCCGCACCAGCTGTCTGGCCGCGGCCGTGGCACTCCCGGGCTCCGAGCTCTGGGTAGAGCCGGGCTGCGCCGCGCCCCAAGTTGGTCGTCCCCGCCCCCGCCCGGCGGCCTCGGACTGCGGGGGCCCAGAGCGGGCGGGGCCGGGCCGGGCTCCGGGGCGCGGCGGCCGCTCGGCTCTGGGCCGCCGGAGCGCTCCGCTCGCTCAGCAACTTGGGCTTTGCTGTGCAGCTTTTTCGCCCCTCCGAGCTTTTCATTCCGCGCTCCTCCCGCTCCCTCCCTCCCTTCCTCCTCCCTCCTCCTCGCGTCTCCTCGTTCGGTCTCTCGCTCTCATCCACCCGTTGTCGCTCGCTTCTCCTGTTGATATCCCTCCAGTTAAAAAAAGGAGCCAAATTAAAGGCAGCCTCAGCGCGCCTGGCCAGCCTCTGGTCAAGTTCCTCGCCTCCCCCAGGTACCAATTAGAGAAAACAAAACAGGGTTGGGGGAAGCAGCACTGCCTGCTCTCTCTCTCCTCGTCACTCCTCCTCATGACTCTCTCGCTCTCCTCACTCGCTCTCGCTCTCTCATCCTCGACATCTTCTCTCTCTCTCTTCTCTCCTCTTCTCTCTCTCTCCTCTCTCGCTCTCCTCCCTCTCTCTTCTCTCTCTTCTCTCTCTCCCTCTCGTTCTCCTCTCTCGCTTCTCCGCTCCACCTCCTCCTCTCTCTCTCTCTCTCTCCTCTCTGCCTCTCCTCCATCTCTCTCTCTCTCTCTCTCCTCTTCCTCATCCTCTAGTCTTTCCCTTTCGCCTCTCCCCCACCTCTCTCTCTCTTCCTCTCTCCGCCCCCTAACATTTCCCCCCCCCCCACCCCGCCCAGCAGGAAAATGTCAGAAAGCAGAAATGGATCCATCTATCCAGAGGACAGTGGCGGAGGGACGTGGGTTTCGGAGCGGGCTGTGCAGCCGCGCGCTCGCACACTCGCGGTTCGCCCTCCTTGCACACCCAGCCTGGCTGGCCGAGCCCGGTGCAACGAGGCCAGCACGCCCCCGGGAAGAACGGGGGGAGATCGCTCCGGGGACCCCAGCCCTCAGGGCACTGCACACTTCGTAAATGTTCAGCACTTTCGGGAGCCGGGACTGAAGCGGGGGCCCTAGGAAAAGGCCGGGCGCCTGCGGTTCCTGGGGTCCTGAGGCCGCGCGAGCCGGGCCGCGGCTGTGGGTCTGCTAGGCTGCCTCCCGCGCTCCGGAGGCCTCCGCCCCTCTCCAGGCATCTGGGCCTCTCCCTGGGTCCCGCGCGGGGGCCAGGCCCGAGCAGCTGGCGGAGAGGTCGCGCTTAGAGCTCCTGCCCTTGCTGCGGCCCACAGGTTGCCAACAGGTTTGCTCGCGCGACCCCTCCGCCAGAGCTCCCCTAAGTCACCCCACATTCTCCTCGGCTCGCGGCTCTCCCCAGCCTACCTCCCCTCGGGACCTCAGGCGCCCCCAAGCGCCCCGGGGGCACACCTTCCGGCTGCCGAGCCCCGGCCCCGCTCCGGCCGGGGGTGTCCGGCACTCGGGTCTCAGCCGCCGCGAAGGGGCCCCTGCGGAGCAGGGGTGCGGAGAACGCTCCTCCCAAACGCCCGCGGGGAGGGGCGTAGGCTGGCCAACTAGACCGGTGGCCTCGCCGGCGCCTCTGATCGCGCCCGGCGCCCAACCCGGGTCCTGCTAATCTCACCTGCTCCACCTGTCGCCGTTATATATCTCAGCGTGTGCGCAAGGATTGTTTTAGGGCGGCCGGTGGGAGCGCGGACAATCGCAGCAGCTAACAAGCGGGGAGACTACAAACCTCCCTCCCCTCGCCCCCTGGAACTGCTCAATATCTTGATCGTGGTTCCATGACTCTATGCATTTGTCAAAACTCAAAGATCTGCACACCCAAAAAGGGTTAATTTGTCTCGGCAAATAAATTTTTTAAAAATAATAGTAATAACCACTCCTTCCCCAGGCCCATTTTCTGCTGGGTCCCTCCTCCCCTGACTCCCCTAGGCTTAGCCCCTTGGGAGAGCGCACTCCCGACTGCTAGGAGGGGAGCAGGAGGGCGGGAGGTGTCGGGAAGTGCCTGGTGGCTTGGGAGGTTCCATCGCCCTTTCTCAGTCCCCTTTCTGTCCACCTCCGGGAAGCCCGAGAACATCCCAAGACTCCTCCTGTTCTCTAGCCCACCTCCACTCGTTTGTGTCTCCCTCCTGCCCTCTTCCCTCTTCTCTCTCCTTCCTACCCCGTGGATCCAAGGTCGATATTGGGGGTGGGGTCCAGGCTCAATGCAGTGCACCCAGCAGATGCCAGCTGCAGACTTGTTCAGTGAATTCATGAATGATGCCCATCATAGCCAGATATCACAGACCTGGGATACCCTCAGGGTAGATATCCTTTCACTCCCCAGCTCCCACTGTTACCTCAAAGGAAAAAAATTCATTTTCTGTCCCACAGAGATACACAGCCACCATGCCTCTTCCTAACCACTGCTCCCATCCAGGCAGAAAAGGAAGTGGTGCCAACTGAGGGAGTGATGAGGAGTAGCTTCTTCTATTGTCATCCTCTTCCCATTATTAGAGGGTTCCTGGAAGTCGCCACCTCTTCCAGGAAGCTCTCAGGGCGTGATCACGGCAACCGTGGCTTTTCCTGGCTTTGCCCATTCTGAGCTGAATGTGTACTTCTCCATGTCATGGGATACTGCCCTCTGATTTTCCAATTAGCTGTTCCAACACCAACAGCAGTCAACTGCTCCCCTTTGGCTTTGGGGTGAGGGAACTGCACTGACTCAGCTGACATTCTCTTGAGTTTGCCCTCTCTGAACTCACACACCAGCCTGGAGGAGAGAGAAGGTTCATAATGGAGGGGGTGGGGGTAACAGAGAACCAAATTAGCCAGGCTGGGATTGAACATTTGCTGTAGCTAATCCACTTGTGAATACTCTGCAGCTAATTATATGCAGTGTAAATACCTTGACAGCCTGTTTGTGTGTGCCTGTAAATTCAGCCATCTCCTCCCCCAAGTATGCCCTGCCTGCTGCCTTGACAGAGCCTGGTGTCTGACAATGGGAGGCAACCTCAGAGAAGGGAAAGAGCCCTAGATATCAGTCCTGCGTTCCAGTTCTAACCTCTCTAGGCCTCAGTTTCCCCAGGTTTAAACTAAGATCCCTCTCTCCCAGAGAGGTTGAGAGAAGTGGAGTAATAACAGCTGACACTGTGTGCCAGGCACTGTGTAGTATTAACTATTTAATCCTCATACCCACTATGTGAGACAAGGCTATTATTCTCATGGAGATGCTGTGACTCACTTGGCTGCTGAGGGGCCAAACTGAGCTTTGATCTCAGTAGCTTGGCTGGGTGACTTTGCCCTCTCCCACTGTTCTATACCAAAGAGGTGCAAGGGCCTAGATATCTAGTAATGTTTCCACAAGAAGTGTTTTCTGTTCCCTTTACAGATGCAGAGAGCAATACTCTGGCCCCCAAATTGCACAAAGGGCAGGGGGACATGAGAGCTAGACTGTTAGAGCTGAGATGAGCCATAGGGCACAGGATGAGCCTGAGGCCAGGCTGTCTGGAGCTTGGTGGTCAGCACCCAGTTGCCAAGTCTTGGGTTCCACCCAAGATCATTCTAAGGTCACTTCCCTCTAGAAAGAAAAATTATTTTTGCCTCAAAGAAAACCTAGCCCTTGGGCCCCAGGAGGTTTCAGGAACTCACTGCTGAGCACCAGGCTGCATCACCAGCCAGGGGCCAGGGAACCAGGGGCTCCAGGCATTGACCAAGCAGGGCAGCTGTAGTTTGTTGTCAGAGCATGTTACTAGAAAGCTCTCCCATCTCCTCCTGCCACTAGCTCGCCTCTGGCGAGTGACAGCCTGGAAGAGGAGAGAAAGAAAGAGAGAGGGGAAGAGTCTGCTAGATGGTGTCGTCGCCTTGCAAGAGAAATTGTCTCTGAAAATTATACAGTGGCAGGTATTGATTCAATCTCAGAGCAAGACGCTTTCTGGTCATGTGGGGGAAGGATGACTGGGAGGGGACGAGGAACGGGAGAGTTATGACCCCGCTGAAAGACCAGTTTATTAATTCGGGCTCTAACAAATAGCCAATTAATGGCTCCAGCTGCTAATTAGTAGGCAGTGAACTCCTGTTATAAACTGTGGTGGCTCAAGACTGGTGATATTGCAATCCCACCGTGACACCCTTGGAGAAAAGGGGCCCTGTAGACATATGTCACTCAGGGTGTGTAGCCCACACCACTCCCTCCTCGTCCCACACCCCCAGCAGGCCTTCTGCTGGTAGGAAGCAGGCGGCATGAGAGCAGGGACCTTGTCTATGTGTTCACCATTCATTCATTCAACAAATATTTAATGAGTGCTTACCATGTGCCAGGCACTGCCGTAGGCACTGCAGACTCAATGTTAACAAACCAGGCAAGAATCCCTGCCTTCGTGGAAGCTGTAAGCTAGCGAAGAGACAGACCATGGACTACAGAAATGGGGAAAATACAGTATTTGGCTAGTACAGAGTATGAAGGAGAACACTAAAGCTAAGGAAAGGAGTAGGAAATGTTAAGAGCTGAACTGTCAGAGAAGGTATCCAGAAAGACCCCACTAACATTTGAGTCATGACCTTAAAGAGTCATGACCTAACCACACCAGTATCTAGGGGAAGGACATTGCAGAGAGAGGGGATGGTGAGGACTAACATCCTGAGGTGGTGAGGAAGATGTGGCTGCTGCTGAGAAGGTGAGGGGCGAGTAGAAGGAGCTGAGATCAGAGAGATTTAGGGGGCAGGTCTTTGGATCTTGGGATTATCACAGGATGTTGGGTTTACTCTGAGCCCAATAAGAGCTGTGACCGGGTCTTCAGCAGAGCAGGGAAGGGATCTAACTAACTTAGCAGGCTCACTCTGGCTGCTGTGCAAGGAAGGGGGTGCCACAGTATCCCCAGCTGCTGGCCTAGTACCTGGCCAGTAGTAGGTGCTCAGTAAATGCTTATCACATGAATCGATGAATGAATACTGATGAGGCTAGATTGCAAGACTAGGAACCACACCCAGGCTTGAAAGGCCAATGTATTCAGATTGTCTTGTAAATTACTTTACGGCCATCTCCATGGGTGCCCTCATATTTGAAATTTCCGAGGAATTCCACATCTGTTATCCTATCTGGTTCTTAAAATGTTCCTGCGAGGTAAGTTAAGATACGTGGCCCCCTCCATTTGACAGATGTGAAGAGTGGTGAGCAGACATTTGCTGACTAGCTTAACAGGGCGTGATAGAAGTCACCGATTCTAGAATGTTGGATGTGGGGAAGAATGCAAAGGAGACAGGAGTCCTCTCCCACTTCTGGCACATGTCACAACTACTTCTCCCACTATGTCACAACTACACCCTGATTCACTGTGTGACCTTCCCCTTTTGGCCTCTGGATTCTCATTTCCACAACCAGCAAATGTGCTTGGATCACCTCTGAGATTTTTCACAGCACCAGACTCCAAAGCCTTTGAACTCTCCAAGGCCTGATATCTGGAGCCACCATTTCCCAAGTGAGGGTCACCTGGGCTTCCTTTGTCTACAGTAATGTTGGAAAAGGGGAGGTTTTGTAAACTTTTTTGAGCTGATAGCTCAGTAGATCACAAGTAATTTTGTCTTAATACTGACTTTAAAATATATGGTCTTCCCACTCTGAGCAGATGTAAGAAACACTGGTTTACCAGGCTCTGCTTCCCCACTGGGTAGGTCTGGGAAGAAGGAAATGGGTTGGAAAAGTGGAGTTCTTCTGACTATTCATTAACTTCACAAATATTCATTGAGCCAAGCATTTTGCCTATCTCACAGGGGCACCCAGTTGAGCTGCAGGCATCCTACCGGTAAAGACACAGCCCTGCTCTCAGGTAGCCCAAGTCTGATGGAAGAGACAGCCCTGGCCCTAAGGGCCTGCAGTCTGATGGGGGAAGACTGCTATTATAGAGTTACAGATCCTGGAATAAAAATCCAGCCACGCTATAGATCAAGGGAAAGATATACTATAACAGCAACCAAGTGTTCGCTACATGGGCAAAGGTGAAGAGGATGGAGAACGAGGAAGGTACTAGGTGGTGACTCTGCCTTCTAGGCTCTTACTGAGAGCTTTTTTTTTTTTTTTCTAGACAACATCTCACTCTGCTGCCCAGGTGTAGTCAGAGCTCACTGCAGCCTCAAACCCTCAGGCTCAGGTGGTCCTCCCATCTCAGCCTCCCAAGCAGTTGGGACCACAGGCCCACGCCACCACGTCTGGCTACTTTTTATTTTTTTGTAGCAATGAGGTCTGTCTGCGTCACCCAGGCTGGTCTTGAACCCCTGGCCTCAAGCAATCCTTCCACTTTGGCCTTCCACACTGCCGTTATTACTGGCAAGAGCCACCATACCCGGCCTCCTATCCTTTGTTTAAGCCTAGTTGCCTGAAGCCTTCCAAATTTCAGCGAAGCCCAAGGGAGGTAGCCTGATGTTTTATTTGGGCATTTTCTCCTAATGCAAATGTCTTTCTGGGCTCCTGGGAAAGAGGCCTGTTTGAAGGAGATACTGTGAAGCTGGCATGCAGCCGTTGGCACCCACAGGGAAGAGCACCCTCTCTCTGGAAGCCGGGCTCCACCCCAGCAAGAAGTCCCAGCCCCATCTGACTCTACTGGCCTCCCCCAGAGAGATACCTCTGACTAAGGAGACTTCAGGGCACCTAGAAATCAGCTCCTCTCCAAAGGCCCCACCTGCTACTCTGGCCTCGTGGATGACACCCTCTCACCCCAGGCTTAGAGTGGGCATTCGTCCACTGTGCTCTGTTTCCATGTGTGCTGTGAGCTCAAGGGTAGAGTGAGTGTCCTACTCATGTCTGGACCACTCGCAGTGTCCAGTGCCAAGCTAAACACACAGTAGCTATTTGTTTCATGCTCATTAAAATGAACTGGGGCAGGGTGCGGTGGCTCACGCCTGTGTTCCCAACACTTCCAGAGGCCAAGGTGGAAGGATTGCTTGAGCTCAGGAGTTTGAAACCAACTTGGACAACATAGTAAGACCTGATTTCTAAAAAAAATTTTTTAAATTAGCTACGCATGGCATCGTGTGCCTGTGGTCCCAGCTACTTGGGAGGCTGAGATGGGAGGGTTCCCTTGAGCCCAGGAGGTCAAGGCTGCAGTGAGCCATGATTACACCACTGCTACTCAGCCTGGGTGACAGAGTGAGACCCTGTCTCAAAAAAAATAAATAATAAAATGAACTGAGTTGGTGAACTGACCAACTCAAACAAAAATAGGCTTTGGGCAAGACTTAAATTTCCAGGATAACGGAGCCCCAAACTATCCACACCATATGTAGATTAGGGACAAATACAAATAATGAAGAGATAAGAAGAAATGTTGGAGTTATGTGCAGGCTGAAGGAAAACCGATTCTTGGGGAAGGGAAGAAGGCAGGTGAGGCCCAGAACTCCTGGGAAACCCCTGTGTAAACAAGTGGCAGGGGGCAGGGACCCCCACTGCTGCCTCCTTCCGGGATGCTGTCTGGGAGGAGAGGTCTGAATCAGGTGCGTTCCTGGAGGCACGGGGGCTCTGCCAGGCTGAGGATGGCTCTGTCCTCTGCCATCTGCTCCCGGGCCTCAGCAGCCCCAGTGGAACGCATCAAGTTTCGCTGAGCTGGTCTTTCTCACTTTCTCCCCAGAGCTCCGCGGGAAGCAGGATCAAATGTTCTCCAACTTGAAAAGCCCGGCTGGGGTGTGAGGGGAAAGGAGCAGGGGAGGAGAGGGGGCCAATCTGCTGTATTGGGAGGGGAGGGGCCGGGGTCGGGCCCCAGGGACAGGGCCCGTGACTCTCCTTGCTCCCTTTCTGTTTAACCCTCCCAGACAATTATTTTTTCTTTAGCCATTACCTCTTTTTGATCCATGTAAAAGAGGGTATTGGGTGGAAAATCTGGCATAAACTTGGAGGCGTTCAGCACACCCGCGACCGCTGCGTGGCATAAACTCCAGGGGGCGCTATTCACATAGGATACGACAGACTTGGCGCCCACCTGCCACCCCCAGTGCAACGTGGGGGCCCTACTGCCACTCCCTCGGCTCTGACCTGACCCCAGGACAAGCTGGCATGTCATCCTACTCTGTACCTCACTTCCCTCGCTCCTTCTCTTCCCAACCCACCCTCAAACCCCTGCCCCCAACTCCTGTCTTGGTCCCTCACCCTCCAGGTCACTCTTGGTCTGGCCCCCATTCCTGCAGGCCACGTTGCCGAGGGTTCACAGACTGGGGGAAGGAGTCATCGCTGTTCTCCCATGCATGCTCGCTGTGAGAACAGAGCTGTGAGCCCTGGGGACTTGCTGCCCTTTTGATTAACTTGTCTTATTATGTGGCTCTCCCAGCTCTCCTTAGGGACCCTCCATGCCCACCATCCCAGGGAGCCTTTGGGATCCATGCCTGGTACAGGCTTGGAAGGAACCCCCAGGGACCAGCCCACTCAGTCACTAAAGGATGGTCTGGCCTGCTCATCTGTCCCCCTTTTTATCCCCTAACCCAAGGCTTATCTGAAGAAGGGTGCTACAATTCATAAGCATCAGATGCCCAGGATAAAGACCATTCGCTTTTATGCTTTGTCATCTTCATTTTAGAGATGGGCAACCGAGGAACAGAGAGGTTCAGTCACATGCATCTGGTAAGTTGTGTTCAATCAAACTAGAGAATCTGGCTCCAGAGACAGAGTCTATACTCTTTACCCCTACTTGGTGCCACCTGTCACGTAGAAGGCGGACCAAAAGCTGGCACACTAGAGCTGCACTGCCCAAAGCATAGCTACTAGTGGCTATCTATGTCAGTTGCTCGGTCACGCTGGCCACATTTCAAGTGCTCACAGTCACACTCGTGGTTACGTGTTGGACAACGAAGATGTAGAACGTTTCTCTCATCGCAGGAGTTTTATTGGACAGCAGTGCTCAGGAGTCCTTAGTTTTCATCCCAGCACTGCTTACTAGCTGGGCAACCATGGGCCGGCCACCTAACCTCTCTGTATCTCAGTTGCTCATCCGAAAAACAGTGATAAGACCTGTGCAAGGCTAGGCGCGGTGGCGCATGCCTGTAATCCCAGCAATTTGGGAGCCCGAGGTGGGAGGATTGCTTGAGCCCAGGAGTTCAAGACCAGCCTGGGCCACATAAGGAGACCTCATCTCTATGAATCAATTTAAAAAATCTAGCCAGGCATAGTGGCACACACCTGTAGTGCCAACTACTTGGGAGGCTGAGGCAGAGAACTCCTTGAGCCGAGCAGGTCAAGGCTGCAGTGAACCATGATCAAGTCACTGTACTCCAGCCTGGGCAACACAGTGAGGCCTGTCTCAAAAAAAAAAAGAACAGTGTCAATCTAGCCAGGCACGGTGGCTCATGCCTGTAATCCAGCACTTTGGGAGGCTGAGGCGGGCAGATCACAAGGTCAGGAAATCATCCTGACCAACATGGGAAAACCTCATCTCTACTAAAAATACAAAACTAGCTGGGTGTGGTGGCGCATGCCTGTAGTCCTAGCTACTCAGGAGGCTGAGGCAGGAGAATCACTTGAACAAGGGAGTTGGAGGTTGCAGTGATCTGAGATGGTGCCACTGAACTCCAGCCTGGTGGCAGAGCAAGACTTCATCTCAAAAAAACAAACAAACAAACAAAGAACAGCCCTCATAGGGCTGTTGGAAGAATTAAATGAGAAAATGCATATGGAGCATGAGAGGCAAAGTGCCTGGCAGATAGTAAGCATACTAAACATTATTAGTTTTGTTAGGAATCATAATGCATTCCTTTATTTAGCAAAGTGGGTAGCTAAGGACCAGAGAAACTAAGGAACTGCCTCAAAGTCACACAGCAAATTAAATGCCAGAAGCTGAGGCTCCTAATTATTTTTACTCCACCACATGGCCTAATGATAGCACTACAGCCAATAAAAGACCCGAATTTGACCCTCCCAAAAATGTTGTAAGGTGGTTGAATGAGGTTTCATCTACCTCAGTGTACAGATTAAGAAAATGAGGAGCACAGTGCAGTGGCTCATGCCTGTAATCACTGAACTCTGGGAGGCTGAGGTGGGGAGGCAATTAGAAGTCCACTCAGGGCAATGAAGTTAGGATGAGGGGACAAAGGCTGGGTGCCACCCCATCCTAGTGGAGCAGATATGACATGGCCCATTTATTGTGTCTTACCCACTAAGATGGAACGTCTGTCAAGGAGGAGCTTTGTTGTGTTCACTGCTATATCCCACATACCTTAAAGGGTGCCGGGTAATCAAGCCATTGCTGACAGAGTGGATGCCCATTCTTGAGATAAAGATGGTAAGGCTCAGAGATGTGAAGGACTGTGCCCAAAATTGGATTTATTTATACGAGAAGAATTTACTGAGCATCTACTTTGGGTTTGCATGTCGAGTCTCTCTGACTCCAATTCCTGGGCTTCAACACCTCCATCTCCAACCCTGATTCTACAAAGTGGGAAATGGGACTGCCCTGACTCCATCCTATACCCCCCGCACGGAAGTGCTCCTCTGTCTTTGGTTGACCTGGCAAGGAGAGGTCTCAGAAGCCTTAAATTAAGGTTCAGGCATGAGTTGTGCAGCCAGGATCTATGCTGAAGTTTTGTTTTGTGTTTTCCCTTTGCACAAAACAATAATGACCTTCCATCGTCCATCCCAAGAAAAGAACTGAAGTCAGTGTCTGAGTGTGGGTTTTTTGGGGGTGGGAGTTTGTCTTAAGTAGCCTTGGGTTTTGTTGTCAAAGCAGAGGGATGCCCCAACTCAGTTAGGTTTAAGAGGTGGAGGTCTCCTGATGGAGAGTGAAGTGGAAGGAGAAGGGAGATGGGGCCTCCCCAAGCTGGGAAGTGACAGAGCTGGGGCCTTTGTCTGTGTGCCTCTGGCCTGCAGTGCCAGATGGGGTTATTTGTGTGCTGAGGGGCTGAGGGTCTTTGGGGCCCACTTGTGGTCATTGAGAGGGCTACTGTGAAGACCTCTCCAGGGTAGCGGGGCCTGCCTGAGGCCTGACCCAGGGTTCAGGAGCCACAGCAACAGAAGTCAATTACCATGGCAACCACAAGGCACAGGGCCTCTTTTCCTGGGTCCCAAATTCTTGTGACCCTAGAGAATCCCCCTAAACATAACTAAGTCTGATTTCTCAGCACGGTGTCAATTGGAGATTTGGGATCAGAATTTATTGGACTTAAAAAAAAAACAACTATGACATTTATTGCATGCGGATTTTGCAGAGTAAATTCAAACCCACGCCAATGCAGAGGAGTCTAAGGGCCTCTGGATGAAGGGGTCTAAGCTGAAAGGCACACGCAGGAGACCTCCCAGAGGTCTGGTCAGGCAAAGCGAACCCCGGGTGAGGCCTGACTGGCCCGCACACAGAGGAGGTTGCAGGGGAAACACAAAAAGAACTTATTTTTTTAAAAACTGTATTTGAAAATAACATTCATTTATTTCTGATTGTAAAAATAATACATGCTGCTTGCAGAAAACTGGAGAGAAACAGAAACATATAAAGACAGAAATGTAAATCACCTATAATCCCGTCACCCATGATAATCATTAAAATGGTATTATCGATCCTTTCCATCTTTCTTCTATACACAGCTTTTCACATAATCAAGACGATATTAACATTATTTATATAATTTCTGTTCAATCTATAGAGGACAACAGGTCCCTGAGCTCTGCATGATGAACAAATGAGCAAAGGAGGAACACACACAGATTGTCTCCCACACACACTCACACGTTCATTTGCACAGACCGTGGGGAATGGAACACGAGAAAGAACATTAAACAGTAGTAAGTACCAACCTGCCACTCAATGGCATCATGACCCTGAGGACCCCTCTGGGCCTCAGTTTCTTTTTTTGTTTTGTTTTTTGAGACAGAGTCTCCCTCTGTCGCCAGGCGCCAGACTAGAGTGCAGTGGCGCAATCTCAGCTCACTGCAACCTCTGCCTCCCAGGTTCAAGCAATTCTCCTGCCTCAGCCTCCCAAGTGGCTGGGACTACAGGCGCATGCCACTATGCCCAGCTAATTTTTTTTTTTTTTTTTTTTAGTAGAGACAGGGTTTCACCATGTTGGCCGGGATGATCTCGATCTCGTGACCTCGTGATCCGCCTGCCTTGGCCTCCCCCTCAGTTTCTTTTCTTTTTTCTTTTTCTTTGAGATAAGGTTGCTCTGTCACTCAGGCTGCCATGCAGCAGTGAGATCCCAGTTCACTTCAGCTTCAAACTCCTGGACTTAAGTAATCCTCCCACCTCAGCCTCCCAAATAGCTGGGACCACAGGTGCATGTCACCACGCCCAGCTAATTTTTTAAATGTTTTGTAGAGGCAGGGTCTCCCTGTGTTGCCCAGACTCATCTTGATTTTGGGGGGACCTCTGCAGCCTGGGGTTTGAGACTGCAGTGAGCTTCGATTGCACCATTGCATTCCAGCCTGGGCAACAGAGTGAGACCCTGGCTCAAAAAAAAGAAAAAAATAGTGCCTATTTCATAGGGCTGTTAGAGGGGTTAAATGGAAAAATGGGTGGATCACTGCGTGCCTCTGTCCAAGGCCTTCTTTGCCTGCCCACATAGCAGCCAGAAGGAGCAGGGACCCCGAGGTCCCCCGGAGCAGCCCTCAGGCAGTGACCCACAGGAGCTGCATAAATACCAGCTCCCTCACCCCTCAGGCAGGATGTCCCAGAGGACATGTCCTAACCTGTCCCCCAGGGTTCCCCAGTGAGACTGAGCTCCAGCTCCCCACGGTGGTAAATGGATAAATGCTGCACCCCTTATGGGCTTCCTTCCCTCCCCTGTCTCACTTCCCCATTCCCCTGTGGGTGTTTCCCGGAGTCACCAAGTATCACTTGCCCTGCAATCCTTGTCTTAGGGCCTTCTTCTGGGAAAATCACCCAAGACATCAGGTTATGGTGGGTGCCAGGAAGACAAAATGATACTAGGACAAGGGGGTGGAGAATGAGGGGTGATATCACTTTAGGCAGGGCAGACAGGGAAGGTCTCTCTGGGCAGTTGAGTGAAGTGAGGGAGTGAGACAGGTAAAAAGCTGGAGGCAAGGGCGTTTTAGATAGAAGGGGCAGCAGGTACAAAGGCCCTGAGGCAGAAACCCCTGGAGGAGTGGGATGTTAATAACACTACCCAGCCAGCCTGCGGAGGATTCCTGGAGAGAGTCTATGCAAACTGTAAGCCCTGGGAACTTGAAAGCTATTGGGGTGCTCTAGATCCCCTCTTGCGAGACGGCTGTCTTCACAGACTCGCTCAGCCTCCTGTCCAGCCGAGGCTGCCATACTTGGCACCTCCCCCTCTGTGCTCACCCAGCCCATTTGTCCTGGAGCGGGGCTTGGTTTTTCCAATAACTCATTAGTGAGGCTTTTGTCATGACTGAAGAAACAAAATCCCCAACAAGAAAACCGCATTCAGCAGCATTACAGGATATTTATGATGGAATGCAAAGCAGCCTGGCATGGGGGAAGCCTAGGGAGGCAGGAGGGCCCTCTGGGTGGGGGGCTGTGACATTTTGGATCTGCCTGGTGCCAGCCACCAATGCCTCTGCCCAACAGATACCACCCCCTCTCTTGCCCCCGACCACCCCAAAGCCAGCCATGAGTCACCACTGCTCTAGCCACTTGATTGAATTTCACCTACCCACCCAAGGCTTCATTCATTCATTTATATAATCATTTATTCATTCAAATAGGCATTGAAGGCTTACTATGTGCTAGGCACTAGCTGATGTTAGCATTTATGGTTCATGGAGATGAATCAGCAACTGTGTACTCTAAGCCCTACCAGCTCACAAGCTGGCAGCGTCTCTTCTCCATTCCACACTCAGACTGCAAAGCAAGGCCTTTCCCCCAGAGAGATGGTTGTTGAACACTTACCAAGACACCACTGTAGCAGGCCCTGGTGTCTCAGGACACACAAAGTCAAACCGTAAGGATTGACAGTCTAAAACAGAGAAGGTCATTGATCCAATTTATGGTGTAACGTAGTCTGGCCCACCTAGATTTGTTGGCCTCAAAGCCATACGGAGCTTCTACATAATCACCTTTGCAACCCGGGAGCACACCGGTAACAGAGAAACCAGTTCTGTCATGCGAGACCTAGGAAGGCGGAAAGAAGGAGGCGTGGCTGAGGCTGAGGCTTTAAGGTGAGATGTCTGTCTGAATGGAGGGTGTTCCAGATGGTGGGGACAGTTTAAACAAAGGTCTGGAGGGAGGCCAAGCAGGGTATGTTCACCCCACCTAGATTAAAATCCCATAGGAGGGAGTTTTTCCCACTTGTGACCTTCCCGATCATACCAGAAAAAGTGAACTGCTTTCTGGAGGAAGAAATTGATATTGCAAAAGCTGGGCTGTCAGGGAGGGGCTGCTGTGTGAACACGAGGTACTGAGAGATAAGGACGCCTCTCCTCTGCCTTGCTTCTCCTCCCAGCCTCCCCTTATCACCATTCCTTCTCAAAGGAAAGGCCTGACTTGCAGGAAAAATGGCTGCAGTGTGTGAAAGGGGCAGCCAAGAGGCCACCATTGACCCACCCTCAACACCACTGCCATCGGCACCAGCAGTGCAGGCCATGGTATATAACCACAGCAGCCCGGTGATGACGGTGACCCTGTGGCCACTCCCTGTGGGGCTCACTGGCACTGTTACTCAGCCCCTCCAGGCCCACACGCACAGTCACAGCTTACAGACATCAGGACAGACACGCAGACAGACCAAATGCTCCAAAGACTCCAACCACCTTTACTGAACGTTACAGGAGGGCGGGATAGAATTCATCTGAGAAGCAGGTTTCCTGACGAAGACTTCACACCTGCCACCTCCTGACTCTGGAAGTTAGCTGGGGCTCCCTGCTGGGTCCGTGCCCACACGCATGTACACACACATGTGCAGAGGCAACAGCACATCCAGGATGCAGCACCATCAAATGCCACACTGTTCAACTTGAGCTGGGAGAGGCATGCAGGAGGCCTCAGTCTATCAGCCCCAACCACTCTTCCCAGGCTTGGTGAGCCGGTGCCAGCCCATGCCTGGCCTGCCTCCTCCTAACCACCCTGCTGACCTCACCCGATTGCCTGATGAGGGACTGAGCTGCCCACTGGTTAAAGGCAGCCTCCCACTGTCCTTTCCCAATCCATTGCTGTATACCACCTTTGTAGAACACTCCGTAGTCCTCAAAGGACGGTCATGTACTGGCTCATGTCATCATGGGAACCCTGTGATGTGATTAGGGTCTCCAGTTTATAGAAGAGGAAACTGAGGTTCTGAGTGGCTGGAGATGCAAACACAAGCATCACTAATCCTAATAACTAAGCTTTACAGGGTCCACGTGCAGCGCTATCTTCCTCTACCCTCATTGCAGCCCTTTAAGAGGTGCTGTGTTTATCCGCACTTTCTGGCAGAGGACCCTCAGCACCGAGTTCACTATGAGCTCCAGGGTCTCCCTAGGTTGGCCCAGGACCTTGGCCCCCACTTTTATCCTTTTCAAACTGCCCCTCATGAGCTCATCCATCCCATGGTTCCGATTACCGTAACTCAGGGACCGGCAGACAGCATGGTGTGGGGCCAGGAGCTTTGTTCTGGAGTCAGACTGCCAGCTTCTTAGCTGTGTGACCTTAAGCAGGTTACATCACCTCTCAGTGCCCCAGTTTCCTTGTCCATAAAAAAAGGTTAACAATAGTAAAAATAACAGCAAATTCTTCCAGAGTACTTATTTTTTGAGAGGCACTATTCTACACCAATTACAACTATTAACTCTTGAATCTTCACCACGTCCAGTGAGGTAGGCCCTTAGTCCAGGGCCAGGAGTGCTGCCTGCACTTGGTGATTGTTTAGCCAACATGAGCTGTATCTTCTGGCTGAGCCCCCTGAGATTGCCCACCTCTCTGCTTAAAACACAACCCCGGCCGGGTGCAGTGGCTCACTCCTATAATCCCAGAACTTTGGGAGGCCGAGGCAGGTGGATCACAAGGTTAGGAGTTCAAGACCAGCCTGGCCAAGATGGTGAAACCCCATCTACTGAAAATACAAAAAATAGCCAGGCATGGTGGTGGGTGCCAGGAATCCCAGCCACTGAGGAGGCTGAGGCAGGGAATTCCTTGAACCCGGAAGGTGGAGGTTGCAATGAGCCGAGATCGCACCACTGCACTCCAGCCTTGGCAACAGAGCAAGACTCCATCTCAAAAAATAAAAATAAATAAATAAAAATTAAAAAGCCCACAACCCCCTTCCTTCTCCCGTGTTTCTCATCTCAGTGAATGGCTCATCTCGCCCTCATTACCTAGGCAGAGGCATGGAACCTAACCCTGGGCTCTTCCTTTCCTCTTCAAATGCACATTCAAATTCAGCAGCTCCGCCTCCTCCAGCTGTCATCTCCATCCTTCCATCCACTGCCTCTTCCCATCACTGAAGCTTCGGTGCATCCCCGCTCATTTCTCCCCTAGATTATGCAACGGCTTCCTGCTTCCAGCCCACACATGCTACAAGCCAACTCCCTGTGCTGGCAGAGGAGATTTCTGAATCACAAATCCACTGAAAATCCCTCGGTGTCCCTCCACAGCCTCCAGGATCAAGTTCAGACTCTCCAGCTTAGCACCAGGGCTTGTGGGATTTGGGCCTGCCTTCCTCCCCTCCGCTCCCCGCCCACGCACTGCAATATGGCTACTTGGGTCATGCCAGTTCATTCCTCTGGCCCTTTGCACGTGCAGTTTGCACAGTCTGGAGTGTCCTCCCCATCCTCCTTCATCTGACCAGCCCCCAACATCCCTCATGACTCAGCTC